TTACAGCGAAGGATATTTTAATATGGAATAACTGTTCTGCAAAAATAGATATATAGCAACTATTATTTTACTGGTTTAACAATTTTATTATCAAATTTATCTGTTCAGTAAACTTTACCAAGAGATGGATATACCGGCCCTAAGTAAGATATTTTGAATATATATATATATATATATATATATATATATATATATATATATATATATATATATATATATATATATATATATATATATATATATATATATATATATATATATAATATATAAATATAAATGGGTTAAGATTCATAAAACATAAGAATACAAGTGTTTAAATAAAACTAAATAAATCATATTTTCCGATTAATGGTTAAAAAGCAAGCATATTTTAAAAGAATAAATATAGGACTTTAATTCTTAAGTTATTACAAAATAAGGAGCAAACATAAAAAAGCCGCCGTCTAGACTCTCGAAGGAGTATGATAAATGTATTCTGAAATTCCATTTGTATTCTTTGCATTGTGTTCAGAAGCTATGAATACTTTCAGGTAATTTTTTTGTAATAAAATTTATTTATTACGGTGTTGCATCATGAAAGAAAATCATGGAAGTATATATTTCAACACACATCTTTTAAATCACCTTCTCAAATGCATATTAATTTAGTTTGATCATTTTTGTGTAGATTTAGTAGTGACTAGGATTGAACTAGTTTGTTTTTCACATTTTTATTTAGATGACAGATAACAAAATAACAAAAATTTTTTAAAGAAAATTTCGGAATATAATTTTAACAATAATCATCATCTAATGTAACATAAATGTTCCGGTAGATAAAACTTGACAGTAATTAAAAATAAATTACAAGATCATAAGAATTTGGTGAATAGAATAAAGCTGAACATAGAAACTATAATAGAACTACTTACTCTTTGCATTAAAACAACTTATTTTCGAATAGAAAATATCTTTTATCGGTATGTCATTGCCTCTTTCACTGTCTAATTTTAAGTAATATTTTTATAGAAGATTTTGAGAAAAACAATATTTATAAATTAACTTATAAATCGTATGTTGGAGATTTGTCGTTTGACCTTACAGCATCGAATATTTGAATAATTTTTTAATCATATTGACAGAATCAATTGAATTTACGACAGAAATAGAAAATAATAATGAATGACTTACTTTATTTGGATATTTTAATTAAAAATATGACACGTGAAACCAAAATGCATAGAAAAGAAACTCGACTAAAAACGGTGTTGTAAAATGTTTTTATGATAGAGCCAAAAAATCTCCAATAATTATAAAATTTTAGTAAATGAAAATCAGGTAATTAATAAAACTCGGGCGTAGGTATCGGTTGTCAGGGACGGCTATTATGCAGAAATAATATACCTATTGTAAACACCCACTGAAACATTCCAACACAACAGAAATTTAAACATGATAAAGTGAATTTTACTTCATTTTAAAATGTAACGTAAACTAGTTTTATGGGAAAACGTACTATGTCAAATAAAAATGTAATAGGTTTTTTACAATTGCACTACACTGTGGCAATCCTAGGAATTTACGTAAGTACCTGCATTCTATGGGTCAATTGAGAAGAAAAGAGTTGTTTGTCAGTACATTGCATAACGTCGAGTTGTCTGTAACAACAGCGCGAAATCATAGAGCCGATCAGTCATTTTAAAATATCTCATTGTAAACCTTCACAAGCTACAGTAAATTCGTGGATTCACGATATCCCAGAATTGCTATTTAATGGTACACGATTATATTGCGGTACAGTGGCGGATTTAGGGGGACGCAGGGGCACCCCCCTAGGGTTTTATCTTGTTCAGTCTTAATAACATGGTTGTTTTAATTCACCACAAATGAAAATTTAGTCTTAATAATTAACAAAATCCAAGTCTTGCAGCCCAAACGTATCAGGATTTTGTTTCGGGGCCATACAATATAGTCACATTCTTGAAAGAAGGAAAAATTCGTTGTTTTCCCGAGCAGAACTATAACTTTGTATATCGTCGGCCGCCGCATCTTGACGTTGCTGGATAAAGTCGTAAAAGCTCTTTTGCATCAATTCAGTGGATTAAATCAGAGTCGCTACAATGTCGGCATGCGACTGACATTAATGACCAACAACGTCGTTTTAATGTTGGGCGGAAAACCAACTTTTACCCCAAAATCAACGAATTTTTAAAGAAAATTTTTCTGACACATTACTGTTAGACGTTTGGACCATTTGTGTTTATTGGAATCAACACCACAACTCACCTAAACTAGAGAAGTAGAAAGTAGAGCTTCACTTACATTGTTTTATTGTGACGTTTTCAGTAGATTTGTTTTCAGTAGTTTTGTGGTACCAAAATTTTTCAACGCGGTTCAGTTCATGGTGAAATATGAACATTGTAGGCCGTAAAATCAAACGCGTCCCTACCCACAGTGATGAGTTTTTAGAAAAAATAATTTTTGTGACTTTTCCGGGATACCAAAATTTGAATGATTTAACTGTAAACACAAAATGCAATGATTACTTAATGATTTTAAATTTAAAGTAGCATAATTAGATTGACCAAAATCTCCTAAATTCGCAAATTTTTATTTCACTTTATTTGTCAGCATCACAATAGCAGACAACAGTATGTACGTTTGTCCTCGAGCTGGTCTTGAAAAAATGGCAACAACCTCGGCCGTTTTTATGTATGAATCCTTCTAATATATGCACCATATACGACTGCTTAGTTGTAAAAAGTGAATGAGTATTTGAATGACAGGTCTCTTTCCATTACTACTGAGAAGGAATCCCTATAAAAAAAAATCACGAGAATAATACAATAACAACAAAAATATATAAGTTATGTTGTTTGTTTTAGTTCTTCCTCTCCCTCTACCGTTTTTATCGCACGCATCACACCACGATGCGTCTTCCATAAAACGTTAAAGCATGACTCTAATTCAGTCTTATGACGACGTTTCCATAACGTCAATAAAAAACCGAAGACACCAACGTTCACAGTCCATGTATTGTAGTCGCTCGCCAGATGTTGTTAAAACGTGTCTATTTTACTTCAGTCATAACAACCGAAAAGTGACGTCGTCTAGTCGGCCAGAGGTAGTGGGTGACATGATGACGATTTTCTATAATGTTGCATCCCCCAATACCTCCAACCCTATTCTAGTGAATGTTAATAATAAATTGATTTTTCCAACTTTGGATATTATGGAATTCGCTGAAAAAATTACAAGGTAAGATATATTGTGTCATACGTGCATGAGCAGATTTACACGTTGACACATAACCTAAGCCAATCCTGGTTTTGATATCATCAATACCTAAATTCCGAGCTCTATAGTAATTAAAACCTGTTAAAATAGAATAAATATGCCACAGGTACAACCAGTTTCAGTAAAATCACTAAAATCGGAAATAAGTGTCCTATGTGGACGGTAAATGATGTACAGAACTCCAAAAATTCTATTTATAGTTATAGAAACCGAACTGAACTCTCATGGCGACAGTACTAATAATTTTTTTTGATATCTGACAGATGTAATTAAAAAATGTTTATTTAATGAAATAAATACGCCATAATTAGAGACACGCTAATAAGTAAAACTGACAATACGACAGTACCATCGTCGGTTTTATTGGCTTCATGTGTTTTAGTACGAAGACAAATTCAAAACTTATGCGTAATTTTATAAATTTATTCTTCAAGGTACCCAAGCAGTAATTTGGCATTTACGACCAAATCTGCACAGAACTTAACGTTGTATTAGGCTTGGAAAGTCATCATCATGTCACCAACAACATCTGGCCGACTAGACGGCGTCGCTTATCAGTTGTTTGTGATTAAAGTAAAATAGACATATTTTAGCCGACTTTTATGCATGACTGTGAACGTTAGTGTAGGTTTTGGGTTTATTATTGACATTACGGAAACGTCGCCATAAAACTGAATTATCAATGTATAGATTAGCATCATTCTTAAACGTTATACGGACGACACATCGTGGTAGGATACGTGAATGATAAAAAGGGTAGAGGAAGAAGAAGAATAACTAAAACAAACAACATAACCTATACATTTTAGTTGTATTCTATTATTATCGTAGTTTTCTTTGTAGTGTTATCTTCCTAGTATCAATGGAGAGAGACCGGTCATTCAAATATTTACCTCAGCACCTAAGCAATTGTATGGTGCATATTTTACAAAGATTCATACATAAACACGTTCGAGATTTTCAAGACTATACTGTTGTTCGCCATTTTGATGTTGACAAATAAAGTAAAAGAAAATGCTAATTTTGGATCATTTGGTCATTCTAATTATTCTACTTTAAGTTTAAACCACTATCAAATCATTACATTGTGTGTTGATAGTTAAATCACTCAAATTTGTTTATCCAAGAAAAGAGTCAAAACAATTTTTTTTAATTTGTCAGTTTGGGGACGCTCTTCATTTTTCGGCCTACAATGTCCATATTTTACCATGAATTGGTCCGCGTTGAAAAATTTTGGTACCACAAAATCTACTGAAAACATCACAATAAAACACAGAAGGTGAAGATCTACTTTTCATCTTCTAAGTTAAGGTGGGAACAGCTGTGGTGTTGATTTCAGCAAATACAAGTGGTCCAAAAGTCTAACAGTAATGTTTTTAGTTAGAAAAACACACTTTTTAAACTTTTCCCAATTTTGATGTAAATGTTTTTTGCACAACGTTAAAATGACTGATGACTGATTCATCACTGTCAGTCGAATGACGACCCTGATTTTATTCACCGAATTGGTGCAAAAACTGGTCGGGTAATCGTTGTTACGATGTCATACTGCAACGTCAGGACGAGTGGAGCGACGTTGATTAATTAATTGAGTAATTAAACATCACAGGTAATACAACCCTCTGTATCCCTGAAGGTACCTCAAGGTAACTTGCGTGGGATAAAGCTACGCACCCAATATCCGAGTATGCTAGGATTAATTTCTGTTTTAGGAAAAATCCTAGCTCCTTGACCGGGAATCGAACCCGGGATTCCAGAGTGAGAGGCAAGTAACCTTATCGCTCGACCACCATGCAACATAATATATTATTAAAATGCTGTTTGGGTACCTTACAAATGCCTAACTTTTTATTGTCATTCCAGTTTTGAATTATCATTCTTTTTCACTTTTACACTGAGTCGTTAGTACGCCACTTATAATTTATTATGAAATAAACAAAAACGAGAATCGCTTTTATTTATTATGTATATTTATTTCATATTTGGTAGAAATTTTAGATTTCTTCATATTTCCTTTTTAAAAATGTTTTCAAATTTGTAAATTCACTTATCCAAATTTTTTTCATGGAAACTGGAAATTGTCCTCAGCATCAAATACTGACTCCAAATAGTTGAAGGTACTTGAAATTGTACTTTTTTAAAAAATAAACAAGAATAACTTTTTCTGAAATAATTTTTTACCGTCCTCACTCGACATCTCGCTTAACACCATTCTTCAAGCAGTTATAATAAGCCAATGAATAATATAATGTTGTTGAGTTTTCATACAACGTAACAAATTCGAGGTTACTACCTCTGCAGCAATCTCTAATGGAATAGGTACTATCTGAAACACACATTGTGCTTTTTTCGTAAAAAGAGCCATTTTGCAAGACTTTAAAAGAGCAGAAACCTTACTTGGTTTACGCCTAGTGAGAAAGAAGCTCAACTTTTGTTCTAATGCTCACTTGCGGCCATAGTCATTTACCTTACGACGTATATCTTAGACATTAATGGTGAGTTGAACGAATGACCTGGTTGTGTATGCGTCGCGTATATGTTTTAAATATAACGATATCGGGTTACACAGACCTTTACGCTTGGTAATTTATATTTTTGTAAGCATATAGACAAATTTCGGTCCGGTGTCTTATATACAATGTAAAGCTGGTGTGGACAAATATTTCCCACTGGAAAAAGCATTTAAAATGTGCAGAACACTTACGAAAATAAAAAAATTTCCATATTTCACATTTCTATGGACTTTTATGTTGTCTGTAATATTCCACTAAGTGTATTGAATAAAGAACAGAGGCAAGTATTTTGGAAAAAATATGTATTAAACCGAGAATTACCGACAAGACAGTGAGTCATAAATTGAATCGTATGAAACGCCTAATAACAAACCAAATTAAAAATTTATTACAACATCAGAAATTATGGATAACAACAAATGAGACAACGGATGAAAAAGAAATCATGTGACAAATGTTTTAGCACGCATTTTATACTCTGGTCAATGTAGTAACTATACAAGAACTAGTTAAAAAAACGCTTGATATAATGAACGTTTTAGTTTACAAGTATGGATGTTAGTCGCTGATACAGCACAATGGTTAAAGCTGGAGAATTGCTGAAAAATATACCGTGTGGGCCGAAAAAACCGTATTCTTTGTTTCTCCTTGCTAAAATTTTGTTTTGTAGCCGATTTTAACGAACTTGGTGTCAATAGTTAGCTAAATAAATAGGCTACAAAGATCAAGTTAAGATGGTAGAAATATTTCAATTCAAGATGGCGGACGAAATTGAAAATAGGCCTTTCTTTACGCTCGTTCTTTTAAATTAAAAGTTGTCAAAATGAGAGGACTAATGACAAATTTCGAAAGAATGAACTCTGTTCTACATTTTAAGACTACGATGAGTTAAATTGGCTATTATTTTGAAGATATAGCGAATTAAAAATCTACTTCCCATTTTTAAAATCTGGAACAAGAAAACAATCTTTAATATTTTGCCTGTCATTTCTTTATTTCTCAACCGATTTTTATATACTTGGTCTTGTTACATAAGCAATAGAATCGGCTCATAGAAATTGCGAACAAATTATCGAAATGTCAAAATACAAGACCTATTTTCTAATAGTAATTCTATTGCTCATACTACTACAACATATTAAATAAATGCCAATCAACAATACAAACTAGAGAAATAATTTATAAAAAATCTTATCTTGGTAAATAACACGACGATATTGTTGAGAATATTTCACCAGAAATCCATAATTAGGTGGGAGCCACTTATGAAATTCGCCCTGTAAAACAAATGTAATATGATTGAATCATTAAAGAATATCAATAATTTCAAACAGTGAGGATTCAATTAATAGAAAATTTAAGGTTCCAGTGAATAATCATTGCTTCTGCCACCCAGCGAGGGTAGTCAGTGTTCTATCCAACTAGGGTCCTTTTTATATCAATAAGTCAAATGTTGTAGATCATGTATTTTTTTCAGAATGATACACCTGCGCATACATCGCAAAAGCATACATGAGATGTCAATGTCAATTTCATAGAACCCGTAAGATGGCCACCCTGCAGTCCCGAAGTAAATCCATTGGATTACTTTGCATGTACATATTTTCTTCAGAGACTGCAAGATAATGGCCGAAATCAATTTAATAATATTGAGTAGCTACGACGAGGACTATACCCAATATTGTGAATAACTGCCTCAAATGTCTAAAGCACGGGTCATACACCGCTCAAGGAGAAGAGTTACGACAGTTGTAACTGCACGAGGAGATCAAATTCAAGGGGTAGATGTGCTAGATTTCATTACCTACTTGTTAATTGAATCTTCCATCTACCGTCTCATCGTGTTATTTACCTAGATAATTTCTTTTATAAATTATTTTTTCTAGGTCGTATTATTGATATTTAAGATATGTTAGTAGTATAAACAATAGAAGTCCTAATTGAAAATGGTTCTTGTATTTTGACATTTCGATCATTTCGTAGACGTCATTTATAATCTTTCATCACGAATATATTTTTTTATAATGTCAAATACAAAAAAAGTTTGGGTCCCGTGAACCCCCTTTCAGCTGGCCAATTTTGCTCATCACCGAATTCTCTATTGTCTTTGGCCTTTAGAATAAGTGTACCAAATTTGAAAGCTTTATTTCAAAAACTGTGGCTGCTATCGCATGAGGTTTTGTTTCTTCATTATAATTCGTCGAGATTCATCCAGAAATGCAATAAAAATTTTTAATTTTTTTTCCGAAATTGTACCTTCTGTCTTCTTTCATTAATTATATTTCTTCTGGTGGTACCACATTCACCAAATTTAATGTATCACCTAAAATGTTGTTGACAATCTTAACTGCCAAATTTGGAAAGTCACCCATTAGTATTTTTTGAGTTATCGCGGTACACACATACACACACACACACACATCCACACACACGCACCGACAGACATCATTCGGAAAATAGTCATAATGGATTCAGAAGGGTTCAAAACGTATATATCAATCAAAATCTCGAGGTCGAAAAAAATCACGATTACCATACTTCCTTATATTAGGTATAAGAAAGTAATATTAAATGTTCATTTTTTGAAATATGTGGGCATGTCTAACTAAATATAATAAATGTTTATCGCCCAAACATTCTTTTAAGGATGTGCGTACTAAATTGGAGTATTTGCATTTGAGATTTTACACGCGATCATTATTCGCATTACTGAATTTTCATTCATTATACCTATCATATCTAGCTTTTGACCGGAAACGCGTCGGTGGTACGTTTTATTCTAAAATACTCACCGTCTACGATACATGATAAACTGAGTGCAATGCAATAAATATAAGCTACTAAATCGCTGTTATACCAGCTTAAGTGTCCTCACTGACATTAATTCACCGCAGAGCACAAACGGTGAAAGCTATAATCTTGAAATTGTAAGGGGATACATGTTAGATGTGAAAACCGCCCACTAAGGGATTTTTCGAAAGTTCCCATCAAGGGTTTCTCCCAAACACGTCCAGCTACAACATTGAATTTGTTATTGTCGAAAGTGTTGAAATTTGGTAGGAATGTACTTGTAAAATTCAACTTTAAGGGGGTAAAATGTGGGGGGGTAAGTTTAAAAATGGGGCTCCTAAACCCTTAATCCCAAGTAACACTGGATAATTTAAGTTAGTATGGTAACAACACATAATATGTCTTGCTCATCCAGTGTTATTTCCTCCGTCCTAAGTAATACCCGTGCTGGTGATTTGATATTTTTCATAACAATAACAGTACCATATTATTATCCAATGGAAGTTTTAAACATTATCTAATTTAATTTGCTTAATGCATAAATTGTTAAGCAAACTACAATTCTCAAAACCATTTTTTATTGAACAAATTGTTTTTAGTTTCTATACATTTTACTTTCATTTGATTAAAAATTGTGTGAACAGTAAGGTCGTCTCTGACCATCCATCACATAAGAAGGCCGATGAATACTCATCTGTAATACTATGTGTTTTTAGTTTAATTCTTACTACTTAGGTAATATTTATTTATTAATAATTTAATTTCAGTTTTTAAACCAAACATATGTAAAGCTATATATAATAATAATAAGCAACATTACACGTAAAAAAGTAAATAGTAAAAAGGATCGTATCGACAAAATGTATAAAATAAAGCATATTACATACCAATGAGCTGAGATAACATATGTACATACATATGTACCGTCCCGCCCTAGGGTTAGGCCCCTGTAGTTAGCACACAAAGGAACCCCCTCTGGCCAATCTCAGTTAGAGCCAACACACCGCCAGCTGACTGTTCACACTTGCCTACATAGATTTACGACAACCTGGACGTGTCAAAGCCACCATCCACATAGGATATACCAAGACCTGCCTGTTTCATTGTCTCTGCTACGTTTTTGAAACATGACTGTGTTTTAGGCTAATATTCGACCGTTCATATTATTACGAAGTTACTTGTTATGCATGTAATGCATGCGGCCTCGTTACAAGTCAAACATCTATGACATTTGGATAGGCAACACCTAGAATAATCTTATTTGAGTTTATTTATATAGGCGTTGTCTGTTTATATAAAAGATAATTCTCATGTATTCGTCAAAGAATTATAATTATTAAAATATATATATATATATATATATATATATATATATATATATATATATATATATATATATATATACACATATTGTTTAGTTTTCGTTTAATATATTTGTATATAGTAATTTAGAATTTATAGTAAGTTCAAATTTAGCGAGCTAATTGGTGCAT